ACTATTGGATTCTAAAATGATACCTTGAACAATATATATATACCTTTTTAACAGTGGTGCTCTTGGATGTGACTTAGATTGTGTTAGCCCTAAAATACGCACCCCATAGCACTGATGTCCTAGAAGTCATCTTAGACATCATCAGGGTCACTGGTCCGCTTCCAACACCAGCAAACTCTTCTGCTCTCCTTAGAAAAGCTCCCTCCTTTTCACCTCATTCACCCCTTTCTATGGCTGCTTCTTCCCTTCACTGACTTGATTCACTTTCTTGCTGCCTCTCCTTTTCTTTGCATTATCCTCAGACATGTCTAGCTAAGATAACTCAGTGATAACTCAGTGGCAATAGCTGCAGCAAAGGATTCAAACATACCAACAAGCATGAAGATGGCACAGGACAGGGCAGTGTTTCATTTGAGTATACACAGGTCGCCATGAGTCTGAGCTAACCAAACAACAGCTAACAACAACAACTTAGTGGTTGCTAACTATTCTATTAAGACTCACATTTCTCCAACTCGGAGGTGACTGGGATATCTTCTACCGAGCAGTTCCATTAGGGAGACTGCTGGCCTTCAATGAGCACAGTATAGTCATTTCCTGCTTATTAGTTATATTGATCACCACCCCAGAGGAATGACAGATATCCTGGTACAGATATTAACTCCAAAATACAGAACAATTTGTTCATCTGCCAAGAGTTATTTCAAACACTGTTCAAAATATTAAAGAAAGGCCAAGACAACTTCACCCTTCATTTTTTGTCTGACCTATTTCTACCTTTTCCTGTCTGAACTGTTAACAATGTTCTATGTTATTTTTCAAGACAAGCATCCTAGCCAAAAAAAAAGTTTCTTTATGGACATTTTTATTGGATTGAGTTTCCTCATCCCTGACTGCAGGGAGCCTTGGGCGCCAGCAGCAAGTGCTCTTCTTGCTAGCAGACCTCCAAGCAGACTGCACCAAGCCATCCTGCTTCTCTGCCTTTTATGCAGAGACTGCATAGCCTGTTCTTTATCCAGCAGATTCAATTCATAGCATTTTATTTTCCAAGAATGGTACTGTAGGGAAATCAGGCTTACCTATCAGGCCATCTTCAAAGGAGCTTATAATAGTGGTTTCCAGCTGATTTCGAAAATGGAAGTTGTACTTTGATTTCATGACTTTGATTTCTTTGGTCAGTCAGTCAACAAAAATTTATTAAGTGTTAGACCAAGTTGCAGGCACAATGCTGGGCACTGGGAAGTAGGCGGGCAGATAAGACAGGCGGAATGCCTGGCTTTGTGAGGCGTACTGTCTGCCCTACTGTCTCCCTTTCCACCATCATTTCCCTCATATGGTTATGGGATTAAAGAGGGTGGGATTTGCTTACAAAGCCGTTCATCATCTGAAAACGGTAGTGCCATCCGATGATTACAGCAGCTCTCTGGAAGGCTTAGGTAATATTAAGCAAAGTGAATTTCCCTTTATGCCATTGTAATGACAGTAAGTGCCTACAGAAATGGCTCCTTACCAAGGCAGTAATAATGTTTATAAAACATATTGCAGATTTTGGAAGACAGCCACTAGGTGAATTGCAAAATGTAAAACTTTTCTCTATTTGCCTGCACAATTCATCTGAAAATTGAACACTATTCCATAAGGGAAAACAGGGAGCTAGCAGTTTGAACTGGGTTGCTTATTATGGACTGCTTAAAGGGTAACTGGGCATAGCAATTATTAATAAGAAAGAATGGTAGCCCTCTGGGAGCTGGGCAATCAGTGTGAAAGCACTCCACATACATCTTGGACTTTTGAATTTCAGCCATGACCTATATTAACTCCCGCTAATCCAGGGCTGGAGTGCTACACAGCAGAGATTTACAACTGTTGGTGTTATATTAAATTGCATAGTAGATTAGCACTCTAGACACCACAATTGTAAGGAAGCCAGCCCCTAGACCAACAGCACCTCTCATTCATTAAGAGATCTTCCATACAAAGACACACACACACACACACACACACACTGACTGCATGAAGCCAATTAGCCAAACAAAAAGCAAGATATTTGGTCCACTGCTCAAAGATCTGTAAGTGTAGGTGCTCTTATGGATGGAATTTTTTCTCCCCAAAAAGATAAGCTGAAGTCCTAATCTCCATACCTGTGAATGTAAGCTTGTTTGGAAATAGGGTCTTTAAAAATGTTACTGGTTAACATGAGGTCATACTGGAGGAGGGTGGGTCCTAGTATGAGTAGTGCCCTTATAAAAGAGAAGAGACACATACAGGCAAGACAGCCGTGTGAAGATGGGGGCAGAGATTGGAGTCACCTACAAGCCAAGGAACACCAGAGATCACCGGCCATTTCCAGGAGCAAGGAGAGAGGCATGGAAGGAAGAAGGAATGTCAGGGGGCAGGCACAGTTTCCACCAAAGATACTCGCCTCAAACAAAATCTTATACAGGACAACCACACATTTTTAATTTTTTCCTTGCAATTTTATCTATTTATTCTCTATACATTTGGTGGAATATCAAGGATTCCATATTGGGGTCTTTATTAGTAGGTTGTCATTATCATCATCAACAGCAGCAAACAAGCAACACTATTTTTCAAGAACCTATGGAAAGAGAAACTTGGGAGACAAACAGGCTTTTTTTCTTCTCCTGTTGGAATATCACCATCTTTTTAAATTATTATTTTGATTTTGAACAGATAATTCACAGGATACAAAATCCAAAATGTACAAAAGGATCCACAACATGTTTCCCTCTTACCCCGATATCACAACCATCCGATTCCCCTCCTTAGTGACAACCATTATTACCAATTCCTTGTTTAGCCTTCCAGAGATATTCTATGCATATAAAAGTGCACCTTCCCTTTTTTTCACACATCATAATATATAAAATGTACTATTCCATGCCACACACTTGTCCTTAACATATTTTGAAGATCACCTCCAAACAGAATGTTGTCTCATTCTTTCTAAATGGCTGCAGGTATTCTATTGCTTTGCTGTATCATAAATTAATTAACCAGTATCCTTTAGATAGAAATTCAGGATTTTTGCAGTTTTTGGTATAGCAAATAATGCTTCAGTCTTTTTACATACATTGTTTGGTCCGTGAGCAATTACATTTCTAGGATAAATTACTACAATGAATTGCTGGATCAAATAATAGGTGCATTTTTTATTTTCCATTTGTTTTCCACAGAGATTGTATGGACGTGCCCACTTGTGAGCAATCTGGTTCCTTTTTTAAAATCTTGGTGAATATGGGAAACATAGTCCAGCTTAGTCATTCAGATCAACTTCAGAAGATAAACCTTAGAGTTCATATTGCCCTTTCAAAGAATGTTTGACTAGTCTTTATCATCAAACTAGCCCTTTTGGAAGCAATCCTACATTTAAATAAAATCACTGACTACATTTACTATAAAGAAAATAGTAAAAGGAAGCAACAAGCTGTTCATAAATTAATATTAAAAAACCCATTGCTGTCGAGTCAATTCCAACTTATAGTGACCATATAAGACAGAGTAGAACTGCCCCATACAGTTTCCAAGGAGTGGCTGATGGATTCAAACTGCTGACCTTTTGGTTAACAACCAAGTTCTTAACCACTGTGCCACCAGGGTTTCACAAATTAGTATAGTGTGTACTTAATAAATGTTGAATTAATGATTAAATGGTGGCTGGACGGTTGGATGAAAATTGGTATTGCAATGGGAAAAAATGTTTTGCTTTTCAAGTATATTTTGTTTATGAAGTAAAATTAATTATAAAATTTAAACTCTATTAATCTCATTTGCTAGAGCTGGGTCACAGGCCCACCCAAAGAGATATGGGCCCGCCCTCATTGGTTTAGCAAAATGGTAATTCATCCACTAGGGGGAAGGTCCTCTTTCCCCAACACATTGGTGCTTATACCTGAACAAATTTGGACTTCTGAGAGCAAGGAAGAACGAGAGAAGGAGGGAGGAAATTATAGGTGTACAGAAAACCAACTTTGCATTAGTTATGAAATTTTTTAGAATAACTTTCTATGAGTTTAGTGTAGTGGGACAGAAAAGGGAGTGATGTTTGAATAAAAATGGCTTTCTCCACATTATAGGAAACCTGCTGACATCAAGTTGATTCTGACTAATAGCGACCTTACAGGACAGGGTAGAACTGCCCCATAGGGTTTACAAGACTGTCATCTTTATGGAAGCAGATTGCCACATCTTTCTCCCGAAGGGAGGCCACCAACCTTTCAGTTAGAGCTGAGCACTTAACCACTGTGCCACCAGGGCTACTTGCATTATAAGAAGTGGGGCAGAATTCACCTTGGAGAATGATTGCCCTTTGTTTTGGAGAATACTGTTACAGCCCTTCTGATTATTTCTTGAGGAAAAATACTGAGAAAATGAGGAGCTGAGGGCATTGAATCTAGCTTAAGGGCGACTATGGGAAAGAGACAGTTATGAGAGACAGCACAGCGCGTGGCAGCAGGAAAGGCCCAAGGAGAGAAAGGATCCCTCAGAGGCTCCAAGAGCAGGGTCTTCTGATACTGACTTTTGAGTTTTCCTTTTCTGCATTGAAATGCCCTATGATAGGTAGCTTCAAATCTTAAGTACATTTGGTCAGCTGCATCCCAGTGTCAGCTTTGTATTAGCAATACCTCAGGTAAAAAAATTAATAAACAAAAATAGTACAGGAGTGGTTTAGGAACAGCAGTCTGAAAAAGCAATTTCAAGATAGCAAAAGTGATCAGTCCAGAATAGGCAAATCCATGGGACAGAAAGTAGACTAGTGGTTTCTTAGGGCTAGGGGACTGGGGAGAAACACGGAGCGGTTGCTATTGATTCCAGGGTTTCCTTTTAGGGTGATGAAAATGTTTTAAAATTAGATAGTGGTGATGGTTGCACAACTCTGTAAATATACTAAAAACTATCGAATTGTACACTTTAAAAAGATGAATTTTATGGCATGTAAATTATATTTCAATAAAGCTTTTTTTTTTTTTTTTTTTAAGTGATCAGCACAGCCACTTGGAGCAGGAAGTAATCAGCAACATTGGACGTGCTCAGCAAATCCTCAGAAATGCTTGTGAAGGTCTGGACTTTCTCTGGTTATATAAGGTGGAGAAGTAAGTTATTTTAATATGACAGGAGAGATTGATCCAAAAGAATGGGTTGCTTGGGGGTACTCAGTTATAACAGCAATTGCACCTCTTTCTCTACTTTTTGCTTTTCATGTTATTCCACCTGCTCTCTTGGTCCCTTTGCTCCCACAAACAGAAACTCTTCAAACATACACACACATATAGGATTTTTTCTATAAGAAAAGTTATATCCTCTTCCTTTCTGAAGACAGCAGAAAGGAATGATAGAAAGAGCCTGGGTCCCTGATGCCTTCATTGAGCTGCAAAATCAGCAAACCCTGGAAATGCCTGCCACCACTCCCACCATCTCCAGCTATACGATGTCAGATGTAATGCTTCTCACTGAGAGGCAGAGTAGTATAGTGGTGAAGGATAAGGATTCTGGAGCTAGACTACCTGGGTTTAGAATCTGATCCCAGATTTAGAAGTTACTAGCTTTGAGACCAAGGGCAAGTTATACCTCAGGTTACCCCTCGTACGACTGAGATAATATTATTGCCTACCCGATGTTGTTGTGTGTCGTTGAGTCGATTCCAACTCATACTGACCCTATAGGACAGAGTAGAACTGCCCCATAGGGTTTCCAGTGCTGTAATCTTTATGGAAGCAGATTGCTACATCTTTCTGCCTCAGCATGGCTGGTGGGTTGAACCACTGACCACTTTCGGTTAGCAGCCGAGCACTTAACCACTGCACCATCAGGGCTCCTTATAATTGCCTGAGTATAGGGATATTATTCCCAGCCAATAAACTCAAGTGCAGTCTGGCAGTGGAGGTTTAAATGTTGCTATAACGCTGAACAGATTTCCACAGTGCTTCCAGAGTAAAGACAAACTAGGAAGAAAGGTCTGGCAATCTACTTCTGAAAATCAGCCATTGTGGATCACAATAGTCCGATCCCGTTTTGCATGTGATCACCATGAGTCTGGGCCATCTGGACAGCATCAAAGAACAACATAGGAATGTTGTAAAAATTAAAATGAATTAGTATGTGTAAAACACTTAGAACTATGCCTGGCAAATAGCAATCACCATAATAATAAGCATTAGGTAAGGTATTATTATTTATAGAAATACTGTGCAATACATAACATTCCCCCAGTCTCCAGTGAACCTGCAAAGCATGAATGTAGGAATCAACTGAATTGTAAACTGAACAGAAAAACAGGTGAAACCAGGAGTGGTTTAAGAGCTGGGTGATACATGCTAGAAGATAATTTTTCAGAGACCAGGGAGGCATATCTAATCCCTAGTCAGGTGCAGGGTGCAGGGGGTAACAGTGAGCACACTTGCGTAGTTAAAAGTCATAACCAAAAACAAAAACAGAAGACCTCTCTTGATTTCCCACTCTACCCTACTGATTGAGAACGTATTAATGTATATTTCTATCACTTGAGATTCTTTGGGTTACAAGTGGCAGAAACCCCAACTCAAGACAGCTTAAGTGAACAACAACAACAAAAGACTGTGTTTGATATAACTGACAATCTGAGTGTCTGTGCTTGCTTGAGATGAAAGTTGGTTTAATACATGGGCCAAGTAAGATGACCAGAACTCAGTTTCTCTCTCTCCCTCTACCTTCTTGGTCTTCTCTACGTGGCTTCCTTTCTGGTATATTTTTTCTTGATGGTAAGATGGGCATGTCTGCCCCACTGCATTCCATTCTTCTAGGTTCAAGTCCAGTAAGAAAAAATAAGCAATTTAATTCTTGCCAAAGCGTCCTTGTACCACATTGGCTCTGACCAGCTCCTATGACCATCCCTGAACGAATCACTGTAGCCAAGTAAAGGAAATGCTTTTTTTTTTTTAAGTTTTTTATTGCGCTTTCTAGGTGAATGTTTACAGCACAGATTAGTTTTTCATTCAAAAATGTATACATAAATTGTTTTGTGACACTGGTTGCAATCCCCACAATATGTCAACACTCTCTCTCTTTCCCTTTCCACCCTGGGTTCTCCATGTCCATTCGTCCAGTTTTCCCGTCCCTTCCTGCCTTCTCATCTTTGCTTTTGGGCAGGTGTTACCCGTTTGGGCTTGTATACTTGATTGAACTAAGAAGAACATTCCTCACGTGTGTTACTGTTTGTTCTATAGGCCTCTCTATCTGCGGCTGAAAGGTGGACTTCAGAAGCGGCTGCGGTTCGCAAACGCTTCGATTGGATTGGCTGGTGTCACATGCCGAGGATGGAGAGGTGGAGTCAACACCGCTGAACCACATGAACTCAGAAGTGGGAAGAGGATGGTTCCCCAGGGAAAGTCTGAGATTCCCTTCTACTGCTTGTATTTCCGGCTGTTCTATGTTAGACTCTGTTCTGCTTACAGGCTCTTTTCCGAACTCTGCTGTTTAATCTCAGGGACAAGACAGAACAAACCAGAAGAGGAATATACCCAGAATTAGAACTACTTGCTATGTGCATGGGGCAGGGGGTGCAGACAGGGAGAGAGAAGAGCTTCAGCAGATGCTGTGATTAAGTCCAGCCTGACAGACCTGCATGGTATCTAGAGACTAAAGCAGCAGATGAGCCAGGTCAGCAGTCATCACTGGAGATTAACATGGAGATTATGGTTGTCATAGCAGGTAGCTGGAGTACAGCTAAAGAGTACCCAGAAGTAGGAGAGATTTATGTTATGCAGAAGTCTCAAGACAGAGAAGGGAAAATCGATACTAATTACAACTGCCATGCACACCAGTCTGACTATATATTGACTCTTGCTAACAATGCACTTTGATTCAAATGTTATCCATACCCGGTTCTCAATTCTCAACATGTGGAGTGGGAAGGCTGGGGCCGTAAGAAGGACCAGCAGCTTTGGGTGCTTTTATTTTCTTTTGGAACCTTTCTTAGTAATGTCTAGCTTCCCTTCAGAACTTCTGTCTTTACAGAAATTAAGCAAGCTTTTCATAAGTTTTTAGCCAAGACTTCTGGTTTCAGCTGCAACATGTAAAGGGCTTGGACGTTGTTACTCCCCTCCTAACAAGAAGAAAAAGCTGGACAAATGGAAAATCAACAACTTTTGTTGGACCCCTCAGAGAACTGAGGATGAAACCACCACCCTGAAGTCTGGAAAGACAGGTGAATCCAGAGAGTCATAGATGAGACCTGCCTAGCTGGAGCAGAAGATACTGGAGTCGGAAATGGTAAAAACCAAAAACCAAACCCATTACCATCGAGCCGATTCTGACTCATAGCAACTCTATAGGACAGAGTAGAACTGCCCCATAGGGTTTCCAAGGAGCGGCTGGTGGATTCGAACTGCTGACCTTTGGGTAAGCAGCTGAGCTCTTAACCACTGCGCCACCAGGGGTAGAAACACTTAAATTGTAATTTTGACAAAAATCTGGAGGCTGAATATGGGCTATCATGAGAGTGAGAAACCTCTGGAGGCCACGGCCTTAGGGGGGTGCCCCCACATTCATGGACTTGACCTCTAGGAGCTCTGCACAATGAAGAGCTGAAAAAGACCCCGTTGGGGCTCTGGGAGCTGGAGAAGAAGAGTAATCCTTGTGAAATATGCCCAGAGCATTCTCCATTACAAAGGCTTATTCTCCAGGGGCAAAGACTTACCAGAGCCTTATCCCACCTGAGGAAAAGGCATTTCTCCCACTCCAGCACCCTCTAGGCTGCTTGACTCTCCTAAAGGGAGGAAAAAGAAAAGATAAGGAACATTTGTGAAGGTCACAGCCCAGGGACACAGACCCACTAAAAGATTGAGATTTAATCATAATATTATAGAATGCTTCTCCTCCCCCACACCTTACCTATACCAATAGGGCTGCAGTATAATAGCAGTGGATTACAGCTGAAAGGGTTGCAAAACACAGACTCTTATCTGAGGAGGAGTTCTTAGGGAAGCCTAAAATCAACAGGGGAGAGAAAAACAAAGATACTAGAGGAATCTGAAGTCTCTGGTACCTTCAGTTACAGCAAACATTAAATTGAGCCCCCAGCTTGTAGCCAGAGCAACATGAAACCTCACACTTAATATCTATTTACCTCAGTTCTATTACCTAATCTATCATGTCTGAGTTTCAACAAATTAATTACAAAGTATGCCAATTATCAGGCAAGGAATAGCTTGGCTGCTAACCAAAATGTCGGCTGTTTGAATCCACCAAGTGCTCCTTGGAAACCCTATGGGGCAGTTCTACTCTGTCCTGTAAGGTCGCTGTGAGTCAGAATCAACTCGATGGCAATGGGTTTTTTTGGTTTATGATTAACATGTAAAGGACTCTAATGGAAAAATTAGACAACATGTAAGAACAGATGGGTAATAAAAGCAGAGAGACGGAAATTCTAAGAATCAAAAGGAAATGCTAGCAATCAAAAACACTGTTACAGAAATGAAGAGTTCCTTTGATGCGCTCATCAGTAGACTGGAAATGGCCAAGGAAAGAATCAGTGAGCTTGAAGACAGGTCAATAGAAACTTTCCAAACAGAAATGCAAACACGTCTTCAGTCAGTGAAGGAGATAACTTTCACCCAGTTTTGTCTCCGTGAAGTAATGCTATTAATCACATAGACTGTTAGGCCCTCTGACAACTAGTGACTCCTTTTGTAAGACTAGAGGTCTTGCTGGAGTTTAGGTCATTGCTTTAGCTCTACTCAGCAAGTCACAATAACTGCACACACCCTCTCACCTGCACAATTTTGGATAATCGTTGCCCCAGTGTTTCTGATTGATCCATGCCTCAATCAATAATAGAGGACTGGACAGCATTTAAGAGTCCTTGGGTGGTGCAAATCATTAACCTGCTCATCTGTTAACCAAAAGTTTGGTGATTCGAGTCCACCCAGAGGTGCCTTGGAAGAAATACCTGGCAATCATTACTTCAAAAAATCAGCCATTAAAAACCCTATTGAGCGCAGTTCTACTTTGACATACATGGAGTCACCATGAGTCAAAGGTGACTCACGAGCAACTGGTTTGGACAGCATTTGTGGGGAAGGGGCCAGCAGTAAGACCAGCACTGAGATCTGTCTGACATTATGCTGTGTTTCACAGACAGATTCCAGCTGAGAAGTGACAGGTGAGTGTGAGGTAGAGCCTCCATCCTGAGGAACTGATGGTGTAAGAACAGATTGGCAAGGCAGGGACTAGACCCCCAACTGGGCACAAGGTAGGGGCTCACTCTCAGAAAAAAGGGAGACTCCAAGTTGTCAGAAATGAAGCACAAAGACTGGGTCAGTCAAACAACATGGGTGACTTCCAGTGGAATCCTACCCACAGTGATATCCTGGAGCACCTCAGAAGCCTCCTTCCTGCCTGAAGCAAGACCTTACCTGATCTCAAACGCCAGGGTAGATCTGAGTCTGTAGAAGTGTGGAAGTGCTGCTGACTGGCAGAGGCAAGGATGTAGAAGTCAAGAATCAGGTAAGGTCTGACACCTGCCCATGCCTTCTGTGGCTGAGCCCCAGGCACTGACTCACTGCCTGCTCTATCCTGTCGTTGACTTCCGTGCTCCATGTAGAGAACTTCCAAGCTTTGGCCAAACCAGTGGATGTGACAGAACTTCCACTTTGGATCTTCTAGGGTTTTTCTTACCCTATCTCACTCCCCTCACCTTCACCTTCCTCTTTAGACCATAAGCGCCCCTAAAAGTTTGTTGAAACAGTTAATCTTTTTTTCAATAAATGCAAAGTCATTTTTTTAAGTGAAAAATAATAATTCTATCCATTTATCTGGTAGCGGTATTAACTTTGCTGGTTTTCATTAATTCTCAGCTTCATGGAGTTGCAATAGGATGTTGCCTTGAGGCATGTTGACATTAAAATTAATGCTTATTTTTAAAGACATTATTATAACCCTGGACAACCACTTCCAGCCACTGCCATATGAGGACTCCTACATCTTAAATTACTTATAGAGGCAACTATAAAAACAATCAACTGTCTGTAAAAACAAGTACACCAGGGCCAATAATAAACAACCTCAATTACCCTTGCTCATTAGCTTGTGGAGCCAAACTGATGGAGCTGAAACTTAATCTTTGCTCCTGTTTTTGTTTTGCTTTGATTTTTGGAAAAGAAATAAAAATATAGGGCATGCTGCTAACACCAGTCTCAGGAACACGCTGGCTGGCAATGTGGTGAATAACAAGAGCTCTCACACTCTTAAATTAACTCTCCTGGAGGCAATCGGCATGAAGTTTTGCCCACAGTGCTCTATACTACATCTCACACTCCACATTAACTGAAGTCTGTGGTGCAAACGGTTAAGCGTTAAACTACTAACCATAAGGCTGGCAGTTGGAACCCACCCAGAGATGCCTCCAAAGGTAACAGCCATGAAAAGCCTATGGAGCACAGTTCTGCTCTGAAACACACCATGAGTCAGAATTGACTCAACTGGTTTGGATTTTTTTGGTGTGAATAGCTTTAATATTTCAGCATATGTCAGTATTTTGTTTACTTTGTAACAGTTCTCTTCAGTGGAAAATGGGAGTGTTGTTGTTGTTGTTGTTTTAAACCAAACTTCCATGTTTATTTAGGAAGTTCGCAGTACCATGGCCGTATATACCAGACACTATACACTGCCCATTGAAAGCAGATGTAAACTATATACAGCAACAATCGAACATAAATGTATCTAAAACAAACTTCTAACAATGTATCTTTTAACAGATAGACTCATACTTTATTTTGGCAAATTTAATATAGAAAAATATCATAATGTGAATATAGCTGTTGCTCTTTTTGTAACATGGTTTGGGATGAGTAGTGCAAGTCGTGAAAGGGGTTGTATTTCAGGATAGTCTTCTCCCTTCTGACCGGGCTGCAGTTAATACTGAAATATATTTCAGCCACTGCGTTTGCATGAGAGAATATTGAACACAGTCAGTAAAAGTGGTTTAAAAATGTATGGCATTCAATAATAAATATTATAAAGCAATGAACTAAAACAATTTTTAAATATTTTATAAGTACTAAAAGTAAACTTTAAACTTCATGATTAAAGCTAACAACTCATATTTTCAAAATAGCTTTAACATTTTCTACCAACACAGAATAGAATAATAGAGGGCTTAATTTAAAAACAAGGGAAGAAAAATGAGAGTAAACATGGTATATCAGATACAGTAAACATCAATTCAGTGTGTTTATATGTAATGTCATTTCAACAATATACTTTTTTCCCAGCTGTCGATCAATATGTAGTTCTAAATATCATCACAAATGTGTCCCTGATTGTAATCTTCGAGCTTATTAAGTGCTGTCATCATTTCTACACTCCATCTTTGGAGGGAGGCGGTTGGGGGACTCTTGGTACATGCAGATATTTGCTTAAGGTTACAAAGACAGAAAATAAATGTGCCAGGAGTCTGAAGCTGAGACCACTGCCCTGTTTGTTAAGCACCTTCACATTCTTTTGTCTCTGTGATGCCTCAGGCAAAATCACACTAAATAATTCACACAGGTGCTCATTTTGTTGCTCTCCATCAGTCCCTTCAGCTTCTTTGCCTTCCTTCCCTACTGCTCAAAGAATAGAACTGGGTGGGCCCTCATTAAAACATATCTGTAACATAAAATAAGTGTATGTACATATGTACATACATGCACTTCCTTTTCAAGGACTGGGTAACTCTTCATTTTCTATCAAATAATCCTTCTTCATGTACTTGGTGCCCCTAACTAATCTCCACACTTCGAGGTAAGCATCCTTTAGTGACCTTCTGCTCATTTCTTCTGGGTTGTCTGTGATGTGCGAGCTCCCGGCCACCAGCGGGATTCCTCTGGGACTGCCCCTCGCCTCTTGCCCACTCTGTTGAGTGGAGCCACCTGCGGCCTCTCCACCTTCTGACCCGCCATTTCCACCGTCCCCAGGCAGCTCTTCCATGACGAACGGCAGCTGGTCTCCACTTGGCTGCAACTCCTCTCCCCCGGGCTGCGTCTCCAGGTTCTCGTAGTTGCTTTGCTTTCTGGTCTCCATGAATTTGACCACACAGTAAATGATGGAGCCCAAAGTGTTCACTACAACGCCGGCAATAAACAGAGAGGTGGGCTCCACGTCGCTGAAGGCCACCATGCCCACCGTGATGGTGGCAATGCTTTTCACCACGCCCACGAAGCTGGTGGTCACCGCCGAGTTGATGTACGTGCAGTGCAGCGTGGTGAAGTTCATGGCGCAGCCGATCAGGATGCAGGCCACGAAGATGCAGACCATGGCGGGGTCCTTCCAGCCGGGGAAGGCCCAGGCGTGGATGGAGTCCGTACTGGCGAAGGAGCAGACGACCAGCAACGGGGTAGCAGAGACAGCGATGACGTACTGCGCCGTGAGCGGCCCGTGCTCTGTATCGGCGCTCGCCTTCTGGATGAGCACCAGGTAGGCGGCGTGCACCAGCACAGCCAGCACGCCCGTTACGTACCCAGTGGGGTCGCCCGTCAGGTCACCGGCTCCTGGAGCGCACGAGGGGGACGGCGGAGCCAGGGGAGGAGGGAAAGAGAGAGAAGACACAGGGTTGGCGTGGGTAGGTTTCCACTTGGGGAGTGCGTCCGGCTGAAACGTAGACAAGATTCGCGCCCCAGCTCTACCCACCGAATTGCTGAGTGACTAATGTATCCTTGCCGTGCCTCGGCTACCGGTATAGAATGGGAGAGCCCAGCTCAGTCAATGCTCAGTGCGATCCGTAAGGAGAGATGTCTTCCCTGCCATATCCCCGAGTCACCCTGTCTACCTCTGTCCACCACAAAGGTCCTAGAGAACACAGATGCCCTCGGGGTCGGCCCTGTGGCTTACCTAAGCTGGCAGCCAGATCACCCAGAGCGTGCTACCCCTGTACCCCGTCCTCCTCCAGGAGGGAGGAGAAGCTCCTGCTAGTGGACTCACACCCCGAGCGGGCCAGGTGCGGGGCGCAGAACGCCTCCTCCTCGGCCCCCAAGGAGGGTTTCCCGCTCCCGCCGGCTCGCATCTCCCTCACTCAGCCAGTCTCGGCTAGCACGTGGGTTTCAGTCCGCCCCACTCTGCCTGGTGTCCTCAGGCCCCGGAGACCTCTAACCAGCCTCAGCTCCTAAACCTCGTTCCCATCCCCCTTCAAACCCTCCGCACCCCGCCCCCCGACTCCAGCCGGGCGTGACCAAGGAAGTTCGGGGTCCCCCTCCTTCCGGCTCGATCTAGGGTTGGAGGATTTCAGCTCCCAAGTTGAGGGGGCTCCCCACCCTTCCCGGAAGGAAGGGGTGAAAGGAGAAGACCAAGAAGGTCGGGATGGGCGATACCGGGTGAAGCAAGGGCAGGGGTCGGAAGCCGGATAATCTGACTTGGGGGCGCACGGGTATCAAGGAGGCGCGCGGACCGCTGGGAA